CGGATTTTTTTTCACTATTTTACTACTTTAACTAGTTGTACAAGTCATAAGAATGTATCCAACATGTTTTATAAAAGTTCGAGAAGTTATTTAACATGTTTTGGATTGTTCAAGGACTTATTTGTTTCAAAAATTATCCAATGAGTTATTTAACATTTTTTGGAATGTCCAAGGACTTATTTGTTCCAAAAATTGTCCAAGGACTTATTTAACATATTTTGGAATGTCCAAGGACTTATTTGTTCCAAAAATTATCCAAGGACTTATTTAACATATTTTGGAATGTCCAAGGACTTATTTGTTCCAAAAATTGTCCAAGGACTTATTTAACATGTTTTGGAATGTCCAAGGACTTATTTGTTCCAAAAAATTGTTCAATTACTTATTTAACATGTTTTGGAATGTCCAATGACTTATTTGTTCCAAAAAAAGTCCAATGACTTAGGGGCTGTTTGTTTTAAAAAAAAAACCTCTTAATACCCTCTGAAGTCTGAATCGGTCAGACCTTAGGGTATTAGGGGTGTTTGTTTTTTTTTCAATTAAGAGTTTAAAAGCTCTGAATACGTCTAAATTATTTAGAGGTAAAATAAACGCTGAAAACCTCTTATTTTGGGAATCGCCTATCTGGTCTCTCTAACCTCTCCATCGCCGCTTCTCTCAAGCTCTAGATTGAATCGCATTCAAGCTCTCGATTGCTCTCTGACCGTAACCTCTCCATCGCTGCGTCTTCTACCTCTCGATCTCTCTCTCTCAAGCTCTCGCCGACTGTCTTCTACCTCTCGATCTCTCTCTCAAGCTCTCACCTACCGTCTTGTACCTCTCCATCGCTTGATTTAAGGTATGCATCTCGATCTCTCAAGCTCTCTATCTCTCGATTTTCTTTCTCTTGCTTGGTTAATTTCTATTTTGCCCGCTTCTCTCAAGTTTAGGGTTTACCTTCTATAAGGGTTTTTGTATGTGAACCCCACGGTTTACCTCCTATAAGGGGTTTTTTTATTTGGTCTGTTAATCCTACAGAGTATCGTGTGTGTGAGCATCGTGTGTTTATAAAACAAGATTCATGTATTGAGCATCGTGTGTTTATAAAACAAGAGGAACCAGTTGGTGTAAGGGGACTTTACAGAGTAGAAAACAGCCCCTATTTCATCATGTTAATGAAAACATATATGCAGGAAAACATGAAAACAGAGTCTGGTTTTWSTGGGATTTCATGTTTTGATCCAGAAATTCAGCGTGTGAGTCTGGTTTTTGATGAAGAAGATGATTCAATCAAAAGASTGGAATGTGAATGCTTGAATCTTGATTTATAAAACACGATGAACTTGATTTATAAAACACGATGAACTTGCAGTTGGTGTTGTCTTTACACAATACAAATCATGGTTGATTCTGTTTCATGAGAGGAACTATAGTAATTTATGTTATGTGCTATATGAATTTGGAATTCAATTTGTTTGCACGTTGTTGCTGTTTGCATGCTGAAATTGATGTTTTTTGGGTCTGAAAATCTATACTTGACGATATCGTTTAATTTTAGGAAAACAAAAAAAAAACAGGCGCATTGGGTCTGGTTTTAAAGGAGGATATAACCAGTTGTTTGACCATTGTAGTAAGGATATAACCAATTAATTACCAGAAGCAYAATGAATAAAAACAGGGGTATTCTGAGCTCTCTTTCTACAACCCCACAAAACATGAGAGTGTTCTTTGTGCTATAATAATCTGCTGGAAATTAGAATCTTTCTTGTGATCTTGGAATGATGTTTAAATATATATATATATACACACACACTACAATGTTGATTTAAAAGTTTTATCTTTTCTGTTTGATTTTAGTCATGGATGAGAATGTGCGTGTGAAGTGGACAAACGAACTTACCAAACGGTTTCTAGAAATTTGTATAGAAGAGGTCAATAAGGTGAGTCGAAATGGAGGTAGTCTTTGCAAGGAGACTTGAGTGCAAGTGGCAACCAAACTTGAAGAAGTTTGCCATGTAAAACTCACCCAGAAACAACTGAAAAACCAATATGATTATTTGAAGGGAAAGTATTCGGGATGGGTGTACCTAAGGAATAAAACAGGGAATCTTTATGACCCTGAAATTAATACGTTCACCCTAACTAATCAAGAATGGGAAGATTTTTTCAAGGTTAGTTTTTATTCTTTTTTACCTTTTTAGATATTATAGACAAAAACACGAGTTCTATATAAATAATAATACTTAATTTGGATGCAGGGACATCCAAAGGCCCGAACATTGAAGACA